GGCTACCAAAAGATATAGTATCTGGGGTCTTAAAGGCTTGAAGGTAAACAAGCAGCCATCTAGCTCTGAAGCAACAAAGCCCACATGGAAGTAGCACACCAGCCTGTGTGCTCACGAAGTGTCAAAGGGATCAGGTATCAGGCATCAAAGACCAAAAAATCATATCATGTGAATGAGGGGAAGTGCAGATTGGGGACCCAAAGCCCATCTGTAGGCAACTGGATATCCCCTTACAGAAGGGTCGCGGGGAGATGAGCCAGTCAGGGTGCAGGGTAGCAGTGATGAAACATACAACTTTCCGCTAGTACCTAAATGCTTCCCTCCACCCCCCAAGATCATGATCCCAATTCTACCTTACAAATCCAGCTGGAATAGAGGATGTACACTGGTACAGATAGGAACTGGAAACACAGCGAATCCAGGACAGATGACCCCTTCAGGACCAGTGGTGAGAGTGGTGATACCGGGAGGGAAGATCAGGTAGAAAGGGGGAATGGATCACAAGGATCTACATATAACCTCCTCCCTGGGGGACAGACAACAGAAAAGTGGGTGAAGGGAGACGTTGGACAGTGTAAGATATGACAAAATAATATTAAATTTATAAATTATCAAGGGTTCATGAGGAAGGGGGTAGTGGGAAGGGAGGGGGAAAATGAGGAGCTGATGCCAAGGGCTCAAGTAGAAAGCAAATGTTGTGAGAATGATGATGGCAACATATGTACAAATGTGCTTGACACAATGGATGGATGTATGGATTGTGATAAGAGTTGTACAAGCCCCCAATAAATGATTTTTTTTAAAAAGGGTGGGGGGAACACAATTGTAAGAATAAAAACCAAGTCAAAAACGAAATACCAAAGGGAAGGGACTTCAGAGTTTCCTTGGTGGCATAGTTGGTAACGTGATAGGCTCTAACCACAAAGCTAGTTTAAGCTACCAGTCACTCCCCAGGAGAAAGATGAAACTTTCTACTCCTGTAGAGTTAGTCTTGGAAACCCAGGGGGCCAGTTCTAGCCTGTCCTAAACTGTTGCTGTGAGTCCGAATCAACTCAATGATGGTACATTTTTTGGAAGGGAGGGAGAGCACAGAGGGTGCAGCAATGGCCTAATAAGTTGATTGGTGTTCACTTGGTGAAAAGAGCATGGAGTACCTTAAGAAGGAGAAATCAGGGGGTCGAAGGTTGATGACTTTTTTAAGAAGTGATGGTCTGAAATGTAAGCCCCTGACTCCTTCGCAATTTTTTAAAAAGTTACTGTTTAGGAACTGGAAACACAGGGAATCCAGACAGATGAACCCCTCAGGACCAGTGGTGAGTGGCGATTTCTGGGGGACAGACAACAGAAAAGTGGGTGAAGGGAGACGTCGGACAGTGTAAAACATGACAAAATAATAATAATTTATAAATTATCAAGGGTGGGTGGGGGTGAAAAAAATAAGGAGCTGATACCAAGGGCTCAAGAAGAAAGCAAATGTTTTGAGGATGATGGCAACAAATATACAAATGTGCTTGACACGATGGATGGATAGCTGGATGGATTGCGGTAGAGTTGTATGAGCCCCCAATAAAATGATTTTTTTTAAGTTACTATTTATCTCTATGTATACTCTGTTTGGGAGTCACCAAATCCTGTCCATACTCATGGAAAACAAAATTAAACTTTCACGTAGTATTTTTAATACTTACAACATCTTGATAGGTAAATAGTTGCTTTTCACTTGTTTCCAATTTTTTAAGAGCCAAAAGCAAATATGGTTTACCACTTTTCTACTCTTAAATTAGAAGACTAATAGTCTAAGAGGAGAAACAAAGTGTGCATGGTTATGAGGTGTTTTAGGTCTGAGCATTTTGAGCACTGGAAATGCTTAAAGCACCTGAATCCATATGCATTTCTGATCGCACAAGTTCAACTGTTTATTAAGAATCAATTGTGTGTGATCACAGATGGCTGATGCCAGTTATACAAGCACAAGTCAAAAAGCATTGCTGCAAAATCACAGAAACTTTCATTAAGCAAAAATATCCCTGGTTGTGTAGTGGTTAGGCCTTGGGCTGCGATCACATGGTGGGCAGTTTGAAACCACCAGCAGTTCCGAGGAGGAGAGACTGGACTTTCTACTCGTGTAAATGCCACACGGGCATTTCAACTCTTGCTTATAGGATTGCTATGAGTGGCCATTGACTCAATGACAGTTAAGTTTGGTTTCTGAGGGAAGTTAATAAACTACCACAAATCAGGATCAGTAAACAGTAAGGACTGGTCCACAACATCTACCCTCAGCAGCAGCCTAGTCTCTCTCTGTCGTCTTCAGCCTCTCAGCCATGTAGTCCCTTGGCCTCTGCCTCCACGAACCAGGACGCCTGCTCGTCACTCGGCCTCACGGTCCCAGGCTCTGCACTGCTCCTCTGTCTTACGGTTTCCTTGCCTCAGCCTCGGATCTTGGCCCGGGTCCTTTGCTCTCAGATTCCATGCCAATCTCTGGTGCCTCTGGTCTCAGCCTCTGCCACTTCACAGAGATCTCGAACCTGCTCTTATTATGGCCCTGGGATTTTCTCTCGGTGTCCGAGAAGGCTCCCAAGGAATGGCTTTGATGGAGGAGTCCATATCCCAAAGGAAACGAAGGCTGTGACTTGATTCACACCGTCTATCAAGGTCAGGACTTAATCCCACCCCAATCTTGTCCATTAATATAGCAGAGCTCTCCCCATAATGGGATTATAACCACAGGCATAGGGTCTAGAATGATAATATATCAC